CTCTAAAAACATATCAATGTCGAAAAATCTCCAGTTGGAATCGATCTTCACTGAAAACAATTCAAAGAGAATTATAGATTTAAATATTGGTGATTTAATTCAAACTGATGGTGAGTTGTAAATGTGCTCCAACGTTCCACCGGGTCTGAATCCTGCAGAGTAAATCCATCCAACAGTCTCTGAAATCGACTGCGTTCATCGGTAGCACGTAGCAGACGTTATTTTAGCCCTAATTAGCAAATGTTAGCATGCTAACTCGCTGAATTAAGACGATGAACCTTACACATGCTAAACATTAGCGTGTTAGCGTACTGACGTAGTGAGTCAGTTCCTCCCTGAATCAAATAGGAGTCCGCAGGCTGTGAGCTAAATGCTAACGTCACATCGTTGATCGCCAGCAGAAACTTCTGTCACATTCTGAGTCATTAAAGTGACTTTTCCTCGACAGGCTAATAAAAGCTGTGATTAACCCGCTGGCAGGACGAGCTGATCTGATTAACACGCAGACATTGTTTCTCAGTAAAGCTGCTCTGATTGCAGAGACTCATTCTGATAATCTCCTGCTGCATCCAACAGCTCAAACCTCCAACACACTGTTTACTGATCCATTGTCATATGAGGACGTTGGATCCATCTCCGATCACTGAGGCTGATACATAGGTTTTTATCATCAGATTTATGGCCCCGCCCCTCAGATTCCCGTCAGATTCCCAGCATCCATCTGAAGCCACTGTGGGTTGAACTGGATCAGTACCAGCAGCTCTATCAGAGTCTGTTAATGAGGGTCAAAGGTCACACAGATGAAAGAACAGATGAATAAAGGATCGACTGGAACCGATCAATAAATGTCTTAACGTGTAAATGTGTGGACGACTGATGGGACCAAGCTGGACCGGGTCAGTTCCTGGAGTCCGGTCCGACGCTCTCAACAAAGCTGCTGGTTGGCGGCCATCTTTGTTTCTGTAGGAGAGAATAAAAGTTATAAAAGTGTAATAAAAGTCATTATCTGTGAGATTACAGTAATTATTGCTGTTTACACTGATAACAACTGTATTTGGACAGTTTACCTTATACACTGATAAACAACATTTATTCTACTTCCATCATTATACAACATATCTGTCAGTTCACTAACTCATACATTAAAGTTACACAACTAATACTTTATTTACTGTTAATGTCACTGATTGTATTAAACTTGAATTTAATCTATTAAATAAACATGTAAACTCACAGGATATTTTATTAATATAAGAAAAGATGTGTAAATGCAACCAGGACCCAGTGAGTCTGTTATATAATGCTGGGCCCCGCTCCCTCAGCAGGGCTCTGCAGGTAAAGCCTCTTGGCTCGGCCTCCAGCAGCAGAGCGCTGCAGCGGGACGGCCTGATCTCATTAGGGAGTTATTTTAGGTGCTTCCTTGATTTTTCACTCCGGGACCTAAGAGGGTTAGAGAGTCCTGAGGTCTCCGCCTGCAGAGTCACTGCAGCCTGATGTCGGCCGGCTCCCGCTCCTGAAGCCCGCTGGCCTCGCTGCTTGTTCCCGCCATCGAGCTCTCTGCTGATTCCTCCACAAGTTCAAGGGCCACAAGTTCTCGTCTGAGGTCATCTGCTGGTCCTCCTCCGGTCTTCAGGGCGAGCAGAGTCCCTTCCTTTTACTTTGAACGCAGCGATGGGGAACCACGGCTCGAACCTGGACGACATCCTGGCGGAGGACATGCACCACTGGTACAACAAGTTCATGAGAGAGTCTCCATCGGGCCTCATCACGCTGTTCGAGCTGAAGGCCATCCTGGGCCTGAAGGGCATGAGCGAGAACGCCAACAGCTACGTGGACCAGGTCTTCTTCACCTTCGACATGGACGGGGTGCGTCTCACACACACACACACACACACACACACACACACACACACACACAGAGCTGGGGTTTTAAAAATAAAGGTTTTGAATTAATCACCATTTTATCTTCGCCTCAGGTTCTGGTTCTGGTTTCACTGGACCGGAACCAGTTTCAGCCTCAGTGGAGAACAAACTGATAGTGTCACAGATATTTTATTCAAACCGACACAATAAGAAGTGTTGATTCATAATAAGACATAAATAATAAAACATGTTCATGTTCCTCCCTTCAGTCTTTCTTCAGTATTTCTACTGTACTCGATTACATTTGTCTGACAGCTGTAGTTACTTTTACTGATATTTAACTTACCAAACACATTTTCTACACTATGACAGGAAGAAGATTGTTCACTGGAGGAGAAGCACATAATGTTTTTATTTTACAATAACATTCATGTAAAAATACTCCATTACAAGTAAAAGTACACAAGTGTTACCAGCTTTATCAGCTGAACCAGAACCGGAACCAGGACCAGGTCTTGTTTGGTTCTGATTCATGATGAAACGTCCTCCAGGCTTTAACTATGATTTTAATGTTTAATTTACCTTCAGACTGAGAGACAACCGTTAGCATGGTGGCTAACACAGATACACTGATCAATGCGTCGCTAGATATAAAGTCACAAACAAATCAATTAATATAAAGTAATATTGTAAAGTTCTGAGCTTTGTCTCCTCTAACAGGAGAGAAGAATAATAAAATATAGAGAGTGTATTTATAATATATTTATATTTCTCTGTGGTCAATCAGACCTTAACTCATTAAACAGCTACACTCAATTATTGGCTGCTTGTTTGTCAAAAATAACTCAATAATATCTCATGTATATTGTGTAATAATTGGACCTTACAGTAAATTAACAGTAAATTAATGTAATTTTACCGTTTTATTCAGTCGGACTGAGACATTGAAGTTATGAAATGCTTTTAATTTGAAGAGTCGCCCAGTGTCAATTTGAGTTTGCTGTTAACTGATGTGATTATTGGGGTTGGACAGGTACAGGTGCCCTCAGCCAGAGGGGAATTAGTCTTTAGGTGTCTAACCTTCAGAAGAAAAGCACAAACATACAAAGGCTGGGTCTTGCAGCCGCCATTAACACATCTGCAGTTTAAAGGTTCACAAATCTGTCTTAGAACAAGAGACTGAAAGATTCCTAATCAATCCTCCCACAGCAAAGGACAACTGATTGACACTAAACTGACCTGTGACCATTAGACTGTGGGAGCTTCAGGAACATTTTGCTCATTGGACATTGTAAAGCACAAACAGGACTTTATGACGAGTTCTTCGGTTTGTTGTTCTTCTATATCGTTGGTGCCCAAATTTTTCCTCGGAGAGCCAAAACTGAAACTTAATGGTGATAAATAATCAATAATTAGGGAGCATTTGCGCCTTTGGTCGGCCCTGTTCTGTTTGCTAGCTAAAATTAAATTTATAAAAGTCGGCAGATAAAACCTGTGAAACCTCTACGGGTGAATATGTTTGCTAATACATTGGAATATTTGTCATTATTAATAACGTTGGATATGAGATCTCACTTTGGATATGTGGCTATTGGTTGATGGAACTATTGATTAGTCCATCAACAGAAATTGGTTTGCTCAGTTGAGTCATTTTTCTGACATATTACAGACAAATTTATGAATTGATAGTTGATGGTAGATTAATTGACAGAAGGAATATTATTTTTCATCCCAACAACTCAGATAAACATATTTTTTGTACTTTTATGATAAAAATAACTCAAGGTCCACTGACTGTCTTTTATTTGGAGCTTTTACTGCATCTCGTGGTTTTCTTTACCTGTGGATGGAGTTTGCTTTGTCGTCTTAATGTAATGTCATGTGATGACTCCACTAACAGATGAAGTGAAATGTGTTCGAAAGCTTCAGTAACAGATAGTCAGTCGACCTCGAGTTAAAATGATTTGGTCGAACTATTTACTCGAGTCTCGAGCTTTTATTTAGAAAATTAACCAGAACTTGTATTATTTTAGTGATATTAATTAGAACTGTTGAAAACGTGACAATCGGGACATTTTATGATGTTTTCTGACATTAAGCGTTCAATGATACGTTTCAGCTTCAGTCTGTGAATCAGGACAAAGATGGCTGAAGCAGCACTTTCATTGGCTCTCTGTCTAATTGGCTTTCAGTGTTGGCATGCAGAGCCATTATCCCGCTTGTGTGTGTGTGTGTGTGTGTGTGTGTGTGTTAATGGCGAGATAAGTGGATTTTAAAGTGTGTAGCGGTGAAGTTCACTGAGGATGTTCTGAGAGCTGGAAGGACACCAGAGGTCACCGGGCTCTGATTGGTTCAAACGCTGGATTGTTCTCGCCAATAACTTTTCATGGTCAAACGTTCTGTGTTCAGTTTTATTCATATGCAATATATATTCAATATCTTTTGTTGATGATCAGAGGAAACATAATGATGAGATCATATTATTTTTTATAAAAGATTGATTATGACATAATACATTTTAATCACAGTAGATTAGATTTCTTTGGAACAAAATAAGACATTTGAAGAGATGTCCTCTTGACTTTTGAGAAACTACATTGGACAATATTGGCAGGAAGGAGAAAAGCTAATGATTCCTAAAGTTCAAGTTTCCATAGCAACAAGCCGCTCTGCCGAATTTCTAGACTAAATGTGTCGCAACAGGTCGACACGTCCTGTTTCCAGCTGAGAGATTTGTCTGAATTTGCAGGATACAACCAGAATCCATGCAGTGTTTGCACAATCCGGACATAAGTGCTGCTTTCTCACAATGCCTGCAGACTAGTGTACATCTATTCAATTCGATTCAATTTTATTTGTATAGCGCCAATTCATAACAGAAGTTATCTCAGGACACTTTTCAAATAGAGCAGGTCTAGACCGAACTCTTTAAAACATTAATTACAGGGACCCAACAGTACCACCATGAGCAAGCACTAGGCGACAAGGGCAAGGAAAAACTGCCTGTTAAAAGGCAGAAACCTAGGACAGATCCTTCGGCATCTACCTGTGTAACTTCAGGGTCACAACCAGGGTGGGAACTTTCAGTGCTTTTCTGCTTTGAATCTGTACTCAGATGATCAACAGAGATCAACAGGACCAGAATAACCTTTATATCCTGAGTCACTCAAGTCAAACAGAAGTGCTGAGAAACCAGAGAAGTGAAAGTGGCAGGAAATGTATAATAAACATTATTAATACCTTGTTTTTAAATGTCTGAACACAAAGCAGCCACACAAGAACTTTGTGTGAATAAATGAAGCCGGACCAACTTTCCAAACTCTACAGGTTTAATACCCAACTTTAGTTCTGGAAAACTATTCCAGGTTAAAAAAAATATTATTTTCTGTCTGCAGGACGGGTACATCGACTTCGTGGAGTACATCGCAGCCATCAGTCTGATGCTGAAAGGAGAAATCAACCAGAAACTAAAGTGGTACTTCAAACTGTTCGACCAGGACGGCAATGGAAAGATCGACAGGGATGAACTGGAGACCATCTTCTCGGTAACAATCACACAAACAGACCTCACAAAAATTTTTTTATCCCCATGTAGAGCATCATCATCACCATCATCATCATCATCACTATCATCACTGAAGAACCAGACAAAAGCTTCATCCATAGGCCTTTTCCACCAACACGAAACTGGCTCTGTTCAGAACCTGAAAAGTTCCCAGATGAAACCAAAAAACAGCAGGTTTTCCTTTGGGAACCAAAGTGGGCGTTTTATATCATACAGGTCGTTGTGCATCGCCGTCTGTTGATTACACTGGTGAAAAGGTGATAGCACCAAGGTCTGAGAACCAGAGCTAATGTGGTCCGACAGGATGATCATTACAGGAGGAGGTGGAGAATGAAACCTTTACTTCACATCGGAACATCTGATGTGCTGGTACGAGCTGATGATTGATTTCTGTGGTCACATTGGTTCCCTGTAGGTCTGTTTTCCAGACAGTGTTTGTGTGGAGTGAATCACAGCTCTCTATTGAAGTTTAAGTTAAAATGATTGGAAAAGTCGCAGCCACCATCAGAGCTGTCATATAAAACACCTGAATCAGATGTAAAAAGTAAATCCCATTGTAGAAAAATATCTTTGATTCTTTATTCTGAAAGGTGTATATAAATGCAGGCACGTTTCAGCTGTGTGCAACAAATGAATACATTTTATACAAACACACATTTTGCAAAGATGCCAAATATTTGAATTTAAAATAAATGTGTAACCACTGAGGCTCGGGACATCCTGATGGAAATGTGCAAAAGGCTTTTTCTAACTTTAGATAAATGTCAGGGTGTCTCTAGCAGCTCTGAGTGAACGGCTGAATCAGCAGTGGTGACGCCAACAGAAAACTGGGCTGGATTAGCTCTGAAATTAGACGGGTGTTAATCTGCTGAATGAGCTCAATCTATCAGCCGACAGGAAGCTGCTGGAAGTGGGTCGAACAACTCCGACCCAGTTTAGTCTCAACGTCAAACCAGTCTGAAGGTTGTCAGAGAGTCCAGTTAGCAACGTTTAACCCTCTCTGAAGATTACCGAGGAAATCGAAAACTATTATTTTATTTTAGTACTCAGGACAATCAGGACATAATTAAGTGTTACAAAGAAACTGGAGAGTGAAACAACTCTTCAATATGTTGAAATGGCAATGTGAATATTTGAATTTAAAATACTGAAATGGAAAATAGAAAAAGAAACCAAAAAATGTTATCTTTTTAATTTTCAGTCATCATTCTGTAATCTTTGACTCATTTCATTTCATACTCATCATTTAGATATAAGTGAACAGATTCTGAGCTTTTAAAGGCTTTAAAAAGGTTTTAAATCTTTAATATTCAGCCAGACTGTGTGTGTCTCCCCCTGCAGGCCGTCCAGGACATCACACGGAACAGAGACATTGACCCCGAGGAGATTGTCGCGCTCATATTTGAGAGGATCGACGTGAAGGGAGAAGGTAAAGAACAAGAAAATAATGTGCTGATAGTTAATAGTACTAATGCTAAAGGTCTGCTACTATAATCACTGCTGCAGAGCAACCCAGTATCAAACCGCAAACCACTCTGTCAATGGACTGACAGGTCTGTTAAAATGCTAAAATACTGCAGTGCTGCCCGAAATGAATGCCAATACAGGCAGCGATGTCCTTAAAAGGCCACTGTACATTCTTCTGGCACCACCCTCAGGACAAACCTTTTAAAGCTGTTCTTTTTGTACCCGACCAGTGGAAAGATTTAAGAACATCATTCCAACAGTTTACAATGAACAGTCTGATGAGGCATGAAATACTAATGCTACAATACACTATACAGTTTAAAATGTCGCAAAGTCACCAGTGTTCAGTTTGAGATTAACTAAACACAGCTGACAAAGTGCAGAATCCACATGTACGCAGATGATACAGCTCTTTATCATTACTATTACAGTAGACGCAGACGGCCACCCACCTAGAGCTGAAGGGTCTGTCCGAGGCTTCTGCCTCTTAAAAGGAAGTTTTTCCTTGCTGCCGTCTCCAAGGTCTTGCTTATGGTGGAAACTGTTGGGTCTCTGTAAATAATTTATTAAAGAGTTCGGTCAAGACCTGCTCTATTTGAGTCCTGAGATAACTTCTGTGATAATTTGGCATTACATCAAAGTAAAGTTATTTTTAGGTGGTTATATTAACTTTTATTATGTAAAAATACAGAGGGTGGCTGTACAAAATAAGAATTAAAGGCACTGACAGCGACGGTGAAAGGAGTTGGTTACCTGGCTGAGGAGTTGGAGGTGTGCAGCTGTCTGTGGCTTCTCCTCCTTGTTCCTGCAATAATTCTTACGGATCTGCTGTCAACGAATACCCAAAAACAACCATTATCTTGTTTTGTAGACGCATTTTTGATAAATGGACTGTACTTATAAAGCACGTTTCTAGTGTTCCGACCACTCAAAGTGCTTTTACCCTAACGCCACAGTCACACACATTCATCATTCATTCACATTCACACACTGACGCACAGCAGGAGGAGCCGGGGATCAAACCAACAACCTTCTGATTAGTGGACCACCCGCTCTACCTCCTGACCCACAGCCACCCAACGATGAGCGATAGTGGTCGGCTTCTGTCCCACTGACAAACTCATTGCGTTTCTGGTGACTACTTCATAATAAAAGTCAGCTCATGTTACTCCAGTTAAATGCTTTTAATGTGAAGCTGCAGCAGCAGGAAATTACTACTGAAGGTCTTCAAGGGAACAAACTCGTCTGAACTAGTTCCTTAACGAAACTGAAGTCATATATCAGTTTTAATGTTCGTACTCAGGACTTCCTGGGGGTACCGGTGCTGAGCTGATCTGGTGAAGTAAAATAACAAATAAAAGTACTCGTTATATTCTCGACTGTCTTTTGACCCCTCAGGTGAGTTGACCCTGGAGGAGTTCATCGAGGGAGCCAAAGACCACGACGACATCATGGACATGCTGAAGAAAATGATGGACCTGACGCCGGTGTTAATCATCATCGTGGAGGGCCGGGTGGGATGAGAGCCGGAGCTGCATCAGGACATCAAAGACTATATAAATAATTATTTTATTAAATTATAATAATAATCACCCCTCACCCCCGTCAAAAAAAGACTTGCCCCCTCCCCTGACCATCTTCTTGAAGACACCTGAAGATCTGTAGTCCGAGTGAGGCAGCGGGGAAACAACGGACGCTGAGACTGCAAAACTTTGCGATGTGATTGGCCGTTCAGCCTCTGAACTGCTCCCTTCCCTCCGGGTATCAGGAGGAGAAACAAACTCATTTTTGATATCTGAGGACTTTTGATGATTCTGTTTTCCGAAGGCAACCTTGATCCAAAAATGTTCAAACCCACAGAACTTCAATCATATTGATGGTTCCAGTTTCCAAAGATCCCACATATGTCCCGGGTTGGGTGTTGAACCTCAGCACCTCTTGGTACCTGAAAGTGTCCAGAAGTTGTCACTGAACGCTTTCTCTGATTGATAATCTTCTTACTCTTTGATCAGATAGAACCTGACTTCATTCCAAATTTTGCCAACGTTAGACTGTATTTTATCTCCTTTTTGTGCGTCTGTCGCTGGTTAGACGTTCAAAATGTCGGGAATGTTTTGTTCAACAGATCTCACTTCTGACAGAAAAACATGTTTATATTTTATCCAAAGTAACATAGTGAAACTGTTCTATCAGCATCAGACACTAGCATCATAACCTTTCATACACAGCTCAGGGCGAGTAAGGCTGGTAGTGATTAAATACTCTCACAACAACAATAAAGTACATCAAAAAACACTTTTAATAGTACATAAACTTTTCAAACTTCTTGCAAAATAACTAAAAATAAAATAAAAAGCCTTTAAGTGTGCAAATAAGATCTATAATTTATAAAATATATATAAAATAATTTCATCCCGAACAATAACTCCAGTTATAAACTGTAAAATAACAAAAGTATTTTCCTGTTTCAATCAATCGAATAATATAAATTTTACACATATGAAGAGTTTGAACGTCATCCTCTTTATTTTAAATGTTCTTCAGCCGATATCTGTCGTACTGTGGTACGAATCGACCACCGTTAGAGGTCGGTTGGGTCTCTGTGAGCAGAGCATGCTGGGAGTCTGCAGTGAGCTGCTCTTTGCTCTGAAGCTGCTGATCCTCTTAATACTGTCAAAGGTTCAGCAGCCGGAGCCATAATGGAGCAGATCTACCACCACAGAGGAAGAGATCAAGAGGAAGAGAGATGGGAGGAAGAAGAGGAGGAAGAGGAGGAAGAAGAAGAAATCACCTGAAGGCTCGAAAGAGTTTAAAAGTTTAAAACACAAAAATGGACTCAAACAGAAACACTACTTTTATTCTAATTGAATTAGAGCTGAGGAGGATTCACGGACAAAATAATCCTCCACAACCTGATCCAGCAGCTCCTCTGGCACCAGGCCAGTCCAGAGACTCACCCAAGCCAATCCAGGCCAATCCAGGTGTGATTCAAGCATTAATTTGTTTTTATTTTTAAGGATTACAGGTTTTTAAACTGCTTCCATTTTCACATTGGTTTTAATATAAACTCCTCTGGCTGCAGTTCCTCTAACAGCCACTAGAGTCTCCACAAGGCCCCATATCCAAATGTCCAACAGCAGAAACAAACATGTTTACGGCCTTTTGGTCTCTAGAGATAATTTAAACTGTACGTTTATACAACTCGCCCCTTTAAATGATATTAAGGATTAAAGTTATGAATAATTAAAGGTGTGGTTGCTTTGAGTGACAGGTGGGCGCCGTCACAGGTAACCAGGCTTCATTCAGCTCCACCCCCCTGCCCATGGTTGGTCAGGACAGCTTCACAGAGCCCTATAGGGGGACGCGTAGCATGTACACATTATTTTACAGCATTTAGTTTTGTGTGACTGGTCTCTTATTTTGAAGTTCAAAGGAATGTACTGAATGACATGCGTGATGTAAACCTTTTTACTTTTATACGATGATGTTTGAGACAAGATCAGGACGACGGGGAGAACGTCTGCAGAGTGAATCATGAACCTGGTGGTTGGAGAAGAGGAAGAGAGGCCATTTTGTCCTTAAAGCTACGAGCTGGTAGTCGTACAGTCAGAGCTAACCTGCAGCTTAGCATCAACGCTAACAGTTCTTATAGTGCAATAGAGATCTCTACAGTCCAACTGTGTCCTGTAACAGTCCACTTTAACCAATCATGTTTTGTGTTGCCTTATCAATAAAGTTTTTAAACAAGTGTCGTCTTTCATTCAAACTCAACCCGGACAGAGAGCGACCGTAAACATCGACAGTAAACATCAGCACAAACAAACATCAACGTAAACATCAGCGCAAACAAACATCAGCGCAAACAAACATCAGCGCAAGCAAACATCAGCGCAAACACAAACATCAGCACAAACATCAACATCAACACAAACATCAACAAACATCAGCACAAACACAAACATCAGCACAAACATCAACATCAACACAAACATCAACAAACATCAGCACAAACACAAACATCAGCACAAACATCAGCGCAAACGTCAACACAAACACAAACAGGATATATTGATGTTTTTATTTGAAAATATAGAACAAACAAACAGCAGACGTGTCTTTCAGCTCTGTTTTGGTCCTCATGTCGTTTTCATCAGCTGACAGCGCCTACGTTATTCCAGATGTGCGTCAGTATTGGGGCGGAGGTCTGTCCTGAATCCTGAACCTGCTCAACAGTCCGATCTGATGTGTGTGCATGTTGATCAAAAGGAGAGCTGGAGACACTCAGTCCCGTCACCAGTTTGAAGAGTCCAACGTGAAACAAAAGGTTTTCCATCAGTGTGACTTCCTGTAAGTTGTACAGGAACAGGAACAGAAGAGTTGTGGTTGTACGTTGTGCACAGTCGTCATTGTTCTCTGGATCTCAGACTGTGTGTCTTCAGCCACAGCGCTGAGGAAGCTTCAACAGGCCGGCAGTGTGTCAGCTGACCCAACCTACAGCAGCTGAGCGTCAGCGAGCGGCGTGGAGACGATCAGAAAGAGAGTTGTGCTCAAGGGCACGCGGGCAGCAGCTGTTGGGGCTCTAACCCGCGACGTCTCACAGCTGTTTGGGCTTCTCGTCCTGCCGCAGCAGGCTGGCGTACAGACGCAGGAAGGAGTACGAGACGCCCACGGAGCAGTACACCGACGTCGCCAGCAGGGGGAGGAAGGGCAGCCTCTGTTGCCACGGCGACAGAGGGAAGACAATCTCACAGGCGATCGCCACGGCGACCAGTCCCGCAAGGTAGACGGACTCCAGAGGACGCAGCAGGGACCCCTGACCGCTGAGAGGAGAGAGTCAGTGAGACACAGAGCAAAGCACTCTGGGTAGTGGAGTCTTTGTTAAAACTGCTAACTGTTAATGCGTCTGGAGTCTGAAACAGCTCGTACAGCTTCTATTCTGTTCCACAGTGAACCATCTCAGAGTTTAGAATATCAACATCGACCTCATCGTCCTGCTGGAGGTCGCTGAGGTCAAATAAAAACTATTATTTAACTTTATATAGAAACAATGAAAGTGTTTACCTGTACAGTTTCCTCAGAGCAGCAAACGAGAAGATCACAAACAGCAGCATCAGAACCACTTTGATCGGCAGCTCTGAAACACAAACAGCACGAAGGTCTGAGGATTCAAACACCCAACGTCTGTCTGTCTGTCTGTCTGTCCGTCTGTCTGTCTGTCTGTCCGTCTATCTGTCTGTCTGTCTGTCTGTCCGTCTATCTGTCTGTCTGTCTGTCTGTCTGTCCGTCTCTGTCTCTCTCTCCGTCCGTCTCTCTCTCTCTGTCCGTCTGTCTCTCTGTCTCTCTCTCTCCGCCTGTCCGTCCGTCCGTCTGTCTGTCTGTCTGTCTCTGTCTCTCTCTCTCTCCGTCCGTCCGTCTGTCTTCTCTCTCTCCGTCCGTCTGTCTCTGTCTCTCTCTCTCCGTCCGTCCGTCTGTCTCTGTCTCTCTCTCTCCGTCCGTCCGTCCGTCCCTGTCTCTCTCTCTCTCCGTCCGTCCGTCCGTCCCTGTCTCTCTCTCTCTCCGTCCGTCCGTCCGTCCGTCCGTCTGTCTGTCTGTCTGTCTCTGTCTCTCTCCGTCCGTCTGTCTGTCTCTCTCTCTCCGTCCGTCCATCTGTCTGTCTGTCCGTCCGTCCGTCCGTCCGTCCATCTGTCCGTACCTGCTGGGGTGAAGATCAGTGGGAACAGCGAGTAATGACCCGTGGTGGTCAGGACCAGGAATATCCCAGCATCCTCTCTGCTCTCCACCGCCAGGATGCTGCAGGGAGAGAAGAACACAGAGCTCTTTGAGAGAACGTCCTCAGTGGGTTCCTCACTGGGTTCCTCAGTGGGTTCCTCACTGGGTTCCTCACTGGGTTCCTCACTGGGTTCCTATGGAGCGTCATGTCTCTGACCTGAGGGGCAGGATGGCGATGAGGACGGCCTTCTCGTGGACGTGCCAGCCGAACATGAAGGAGGCCAGAGCGCAGAGCAGCAGGCAGCGCAGGAACCCCCGAGCACCGCGAGGACGGCGCCAGATGGACGCCACGGCCGGCTTCAGACGGTCAGAGGACAGAGAACGCCGTCAGACAGGAAGAGACGCAGATAATCAATATTCCCTCAGTAAAGTCTCACCAGGATGGAGAGCAGAGTGCAGACCAGGGTGACGGAGGGAGAGACGGAGGGGAGGACCGAGTGCTGAAACTCCTGCACCAACCCGCCCGTCATGGAGGCTCGAGGAAGCTCCGCCTCCTCCAGCAGCTTCAGACGAACACCTGAACCACAGAAAGAATCACTTATTCCCTGTGGCCCTCAGAACCACCACGGACTCGTACAGTGAGACAGGAGGAGGCTCACCCAGCACCGCCAGGACTTTGTCCAGCATGTTGTAGAGGGCCCAGATGTTGGGGGCCCAGTAGGCGTGACAGAGGCCCCGCTTAAAGGGGAAGAGTCGGGACAGGACCTGAGGGAGCTGACCCTGGAATCAACATCTCTTCATCAGTGACAGGAAACAGACCGCTGTTTTATTCTGAAGGGCTCAGCTACACTTACCATGGCGATGAAGGGCCCGAAGGACAGAGCGCACACGGAGACCACGATGGCGCCCAGAGCCAGCAGACGGAGCGGACTGAAGCTCCTCCAGTTCACAGAACCATCTGCACAAAGACACAGACAGATCTTTTATCTGAATGCGTTCAGGGTCAGATTAAATATCTGTGGGTTGGATCTCCATGGTGACACTTTATAGATCCATTGATCAGGAAGTATCTGCAGATCATTAAAGGAGAGACCCCCCAGTGTCGGGTCTACAGGAGCGCCGTACCTTTGTGGTCCTGAGTGAAACAGTAGCTCCGCAGCAGGTAGATGCCGTACGCCGGCGCCACGTACAGGTAGATGTGCTTCAGGTTGAGCAGGATGGCGAACAGCAGCGCCCCCTGCAGGTGGCGAGACTGTTCAACACAAACAGGGAAACCATCTCCTTTACTTCCTGTTACAGAGTATTACAGAGTAAGAGCGTGTGTTACAAAGTAAGAGCGTGTGTATTACAGAGTAAGAGCGTGTGTATTACAGAGTAAGAGCGTGTGTTACAAAGTAAGAGCGTGTGTATTACAGAGTAAGAGCGTGTGTATTACAGAGTAAGAGCGTGTGTTACAAAGTAAGAGCGTGTGTATTACAGAGTAAGAGCGTGTGTTACAAAGTAAGAGCGTGTGTATTACAGAGTAAGAGCGTGTGTATTACAAAGTAAGAGCGTGTATTACAGAGTAAGAGCGTGTGTATTACAGAGTAAGAGCGTGTGTTACAAAGTAAGAGCGTGTGTTACAAAGTAAGAGCGTGTGTTACAAAGTAAGAGCGTGTGTATTACAAAGTAAGAGCGTGTGTTACAAAGTAAGAGCGTGTGTATTACAGAGTAAGAGCGTGTGTTACAAAGTAAGAGCGTGTGTTACAAAGTAAGAGCGTGACAGTAAGAGTTTACAGAGTAAGAGCGTGTGTTACAAAGTAAGAGCGTGTGTATTACAGAGTAAGAGCGTGTGTATTACAGAGTAAGAGCGTGTGTGTAAGGGATCAGATGAACCGGTGGTCACTCAGTGGTCTCAGGTGAGTCTCAGGTGAGTCTCAGGTGAGTCTCAGGTGTTTACCTGCAGGTGTTTGGCCACAGACAGCAGCAGGAAGCCAAACAAGAAGCCGTTATACTGGAAATGAATATCTGACAGTGTGAAGGACGAATCACGTTCATAAATTTCATCTCTGATAGCAGACGGACACAACAACAACAACAACAACAACAAAGTGTTTCAACAGGAGAGAATGGATCTGGGCCCACGAGTTTATAGGAAATGTTTGAGAAATCCTTCAGAACAGTTTAACTGTCGGAACGTGACTTCATTAAGGAACATAAATGAATAACTGCAGATTTATAACAATCTCTAACGATTTCTGACAGACTGTTGGTTCTAGTTGTAGTTTAAAATCTAAATCCACAATCAATGAAGAGTTCTGTTCCGTCTTTAAACTTATTGTGTGTATCTTTAATAAACCAGTCAGGGTTTCATCAGTGGTCTTGTTGTTTCCTCCTGATCCACAACGAACCCAAAC